GCAATGGAGAAAATATGATCACTTTTAATGCCTCGAGGCCTGTTTCATAAAACAAGTTTACCAAATAAGTCAGGCTTATTTCAGTTAGTCTGACTCATTGTCAAATGATTTGGTTCCATAAAGCAAATTTAAGATTAACTTCAGTCACTGTGGCAACTTAAGCTGGGAAAATAACCTGGTCTAAAGCAAGTTAACTATCAGACTAAGCTGAGTTCCTCTAACACTGACCAATAGGCACGCAGCAGCGGTGATGAGAGAACGCGCTTGACAAACAAATACATAGATCACAGATTATTGGACACTTTCTAAATAATAAAAGTATAGCGCATCATCTAGTAATTGTATATAAATAAATCAGTTTTTACCGATGCAAATATGTTAGAAACGATGCATATGAAGCAGCTACAGATGTGATGCGATACGATTCACCCGTTACGATGCAGTGCGATCCGATTTCGATTCGATTCAACATAATGCGATTCAATACAATACGATGCAATTGAAAAAATATGATCACTTTTAATGCCTCGAGGCCTGTTTCATAAAACAAGTTTACCAAATAAGCCAGGCTTATTTCAGTTAGTCTGACTCATTGTCAAATTATTTGGTTCCATAAAGCAAATTTAACATAGATCAACTGTGGCAACGTATGCTGGGAAACTAACCTGGTCTAAAGCAGGTTAACTGTCAGACAGCTGAGTTCCTCTAACACTGACCAATAGGAACGCTATTATTTGACTTTTTTTTTTACAGTTTCTAGCCAAGTAGAAAGGCTCTCTGGTTTTATGACAGCTGTACCTTTGCAGTACAGATAGCAGAACATTAGAACATTACAATCTAAAATTGCTCTTTAAAGCATTAAAAGAACTAAATTAAAAGTTCAAATCACCGAATTAAAATGAAAATAAATAATAAATTAGCCAGCTTACATTTGAATTACAGTTACTGCTATCATAAAAATACACTTATATGTAGGATTAAAATTCCACATGTGTCACATTTAATGTCCAACAACAATATTTTAGCAAAATGTATATTTTACTCAGAATTATTGCGCTCCTATTCGATTGCACGCCGTCTGTTTTGCGCGCAGCAGCGCTTGTTCACTCGCGTAAGCCTCACCCACTCCTGACAGCAAAATGGATATATTTGCATGACATCATCTAGTAATTGTATATAAATAAATCAGTTTTTACCGATGCAAATATGTTAGAAACGATGCATATGAAGCAGCTACAGATGTGATGCGATACGATTCACCCGTTACGATGCAGTGCGATCCGATTTCGATTCGATTCAACATAATGCGATTCAATACAATACAAATGCCGACTTGTAGCCGATACACACTTTTTAAACCGATGCATCGCATCGTTAACTTTTTATGCCAATGCACCGAGCGAATCGGGGAATCTTCCCATCCCTAGTAGAGGCACGTACAGCAGTCCACAATAATATTTTGTCTCCTTTTTTTCAACAAAAATAGAAAGAGATTTTTGCATAGTTTTTGTACATTTTAGTCTCGTCTTTTATCGTCAACAATTTTGCATGTTGATATTGTCACAATTATCGTTAACTGACAGTATTGTTGTCTCGTCATCGTCTCGTTTTAGTCATGGGAAAAAAGCTTGTCAACAAACATATTTTGTCATAGTTTTTGTTAACGAAATACTCCACTGAACCAAACCTTAGAAGAGCTAAAAAGGTCATAAAGGCGTCATAAAACAAATCCATATGAACTGAGCTTCAAGTGTTGTTTAGAGATACAGATGCTTTCTATGATAAACAGATTTAATTTAGGCTTTTATTTACATTTGAACAATGCTTGACACACACAAATAGAGCACATAACGTTGCTTAAACAAGGAAACTCAAATGTGTATGATGCGCGACAACCAATGAGTTTTGATCTAGCTTGTGACACACAAATGGGTTTCCATGTTTAGATGTTTATTGTGCTCTGTGTATGTTTGTTAACATGTGAATGAAAGCGTAAATTAAACCTGTTTGTCATATAACACAGTTGTATCTCTTCACAATATTTGAATTAAACCGCTCGATTCATATGGATTTTTGGGTGAACTATTCCTTTAACTTGCAATGATTAATAGATCTTAATCAAGGTAGTGCCATATTTAATTTTTTACAGGAATGAAAACAAGGCTGTGAGGGACAGAAATACGAAAAATCGTGTTTTCGATGGATTGTACTGTTATTTAACAACATACTGGTTGTTCAGCAGACAAATTGTCTTTCCGGAAAAAGCGTTCAGCAGACAAAAACACAGTTTTAAAAGTTGTGAGTTATGAAAATTATGTGATCTAGGACCTTTATAAAGTGTGTTGTAACGACTGCAGTCTATCCTTCACAGCCTCATTTTCATCTGTGTTGGATTACATGATTGCATATGAAGAGTTCAGATGCAAACACCTCTAAGTGCCGTCTGAAATGTCCTTTTTAAATTAGCTTTTGTTCAGGCTCCTATGTGTAGGTTCAGTAGTTTCACTTTAATAGCAATGAATAGTTCTTTTCATTAACATTAAAGTGAAATAACTGAACATAAATATAGGAGCCTGAGAAAAAAAGCTAATTGTAGAAGAAAATTTCAGACGGCAGTTTGCATCGGAACACTTCATATGCAATCATGTAATCCATAAAAATGTAACTGTATTCTGATTATGAGCTTTTTAAAGCATAACATAATCTAATTGCAAGTACTTAATTTTTGGAATCTGATTACGTAATCCGGATTACATGTAATCAGTTACTTCCCAGCACTGGCTACAGCTCTTAAAAAAGGTTTCCTGTTCCTTTAAATATTGTGTGTAGTTTGCAGATCACCTACACAATCCAAAATCAACAACAAAATGGATATCAGATAGCAATACTACAGAAAACAGCATTATATCTCAAATTGTCAAACAAACCTTCAATTAGGTGACTGGACATACAAAGAAATGTGGCAATAAAACTCCTCAGATTTCCAATCTCGGAACACACGCGTAAATTCTTACTTTCAAAACCTCAAAGTCATACACGAAGGCCCGAGGCAATGTTAGCGTCTTTTCCATATCAGTCCCTGAGCCTAGAAAACACTGAAAGAGTGTGCGTTCCCCTTTAAGAGGCCCCCGCCGTTCCCGACGAGGCGGGAGGCAGAGCGCATTCCTGGAACAGCGCGAGAAAGGGAAAAAAAAATCACCAGCGACCTGTTTCAAGTCCCCCCAATAGAAACTGTGCCTGATTTGTGGCCAATGTTGGAGATGTGAAAAAAAAAAGGGAGAGAGGACGAGGGGGGAGGGAAAACACTAAAGGGGGTAGCTATGGAGATAGACCGTTTTCCTGGCTGCTTTCTTTGACAGGTGTTGAGTGGGGTAAAAGTCTTAAAACAGAATCCAGCATGTACGCCAAAGGTAAAGGAGCTGTCGTCCCTTCTGATAGTCAAGCGAGAGAAAAGTAAGTGAATTGCGCGCCCTTTAAAGAGTCTCGCTTTGCTTATTACGGACTCGCAACTTTCTAAAACTGTGCGTACTATTGTATGAAGGTGTATTTAGTGCGAACTTGCGCTCTGGAGTGATCGTCCCGGAGTCTTCCTAACTTTATAGCCGGTTGTAGCACTTTAATGCTTTGAGTTGCCCGTGCATTTTCGATTTTATTCAAGTTTGGGTGCGCACCTGAACACATGAACTGTCCAGTGCATCCAATCTGAGTGATGGTGCATGCTCGCATCACTCATTTTAAAGCTTGTGTGTCTTTTGCATCAACATTACATGCCGTGCATCTGTTGTGTGAGAGTTACATTGCTAGATAAACGCATCCGAGTCTTTTTCTCACGGTTTTCGGACGTGTTTTTTAAAAGTTGGGGAGGTGTTTAGTCGCCGTTCGTGTTTGTTTGCGCTGGTTTATTTCTTATTTAATGCTATTTGTATCTAATCGCGTGTGTATTTGCACGTTTTGGCTTTAAAGCTAACTGATAAATAAGTTATTTTTGTAATTCCGACACATATTCCCCGAATATTTTAATATTTTGTCTTTTGGTGAAGCGCAGAGTAACGGTTTTTATAAAAAACTCTTGTTGCTTCAAGTTTTGCTGACTTTTCCACACTGCATACTGTAATATTTTATGGTAGTACATCACCATGTGATCTTTCCACTGTTGTGTACAAGCTGTTGCCATAGAAACAACCTTACATCCCTTAAATGTAATAAAGTGACCTGTAATATTCATAAATCTGTCATATGTGGTCGAAGGTTACTGTGTCAGACTTGGAGACGATGATAGGACACTTAGTATGTGAGTCTGAGATGACTGTGGAGATGTAACACACTTAGGAAGGAAGAATGCAAGGAAATATTGGTGGTCATAATTAAACTGCATGAGGAGATTGTGAATATGATGTATAGGATATCAGCATCTAAGAGAAATTGCTTCCAAGACCGTTTTTGTATGGAAGTTCTGGAAGAAAGTGTAATTGTCTCAGACTTGGTTAGAGTTATTTTGTCGTTCAGATGTTGATTGCCACTTTGAAACTATTCATTTCAGTGTTATGCAGTAGTTTTTGTGTAAAAAGCTTCCCAGAAGTTTGCCTCGTACCAGGGGTCTGCAACAGTTTGTGTACAAACAAGGTGTTTTTCCAAGAAACTTTCCATTAATGGTCTGAAATGGTCATTTCGACTCTTATGCTAGTGAACATCCTCGAACACAGGTTGTGCAAGGATGTAGACGGCTCCTCAAGTGTTGGTGCCACGGGCACCGCATTAACACCGCAGGTTACCGTTTCACGTGTTGTATTCAGAGATGACATGTTGTGACCACACAGGCTTTTTTCTGTTGTTGGAGGTTAATAAATTTGTCGGCACTAGTCAAGCAAAGGTGTCATTAACATTAAGCAGCTGATTTAGGATGCAATAACCAAGTTTAGACCTCATTCATTGGCGTCCTTGGCAAGTTTGCTTGGAGGAACCACTTGAAAAAGTGAACTTGGGAGGACTCTATGAATCAGTAATGTCAAGTTTATTGCAGCATTGTTGACTTTGATTAGTTCTGAATCTGAACAGATCTCAAAGCTCAGGTTAATCAGAGATTAGCGTCCACAGATTCGATCTAATTCCGTGAATCAGTTGGAATGCCACAAGAAATTGCACAGTGTTTTTTTTTTTAGGTGGAAATTAATGAAAAAGGATTCTGATCTAGGTCTTCATCTCCTGTTTTCCCCCAACATCTTGAGCACTTCTCTGGCTTCCCTGAGTTTATTGGTGTGTCTAAGAGGCAGCGAGTAGGTCTGAAATGCATGGTTTTGATTTCATCCAGATGGCTCAGCCTCCTTCATAGAGGTGTTTTCAGCCACATATAAAGGGGATCATGCATGCACACAGAAACAGGACGTTGTTCTTATG